TTTATTTTCTTTTTGGAGTCTCCATTTCTCAAACCAAGTTGACAAAATCTCTTCTCCTTTTAACATGATAAAGGCCTTAAAACTTAGAGACATCTTTTCAGAGGGTGCATATGCTAACGTATCTGGGAATTCTTTGCTTATTTGGAATTCTTTGGTTTTTAACGTTGACTTTGGTTACAGTCTAAGGGAAACGGGAAGATGGTAGACCAACAAACAATACAATAGTCTTTTCTAAAAATGTTTCCCAAGACTACCTGGAGAATTATCACAATTCTCTTACTAAGGCTCAATCCCCAATGGAGAAACGGTATGAACAAACCAGTCACAAAAGGAGAAATGCAAACTATTAACAACATGAAGGAATCCTCCAAATTACTGTGAAAATGATAATAACTATGAGAATTCACTCCATATCTTTCAAATTGTCAAAGATGACAAAGCCCAGACCCTTTGAGTCAGACATTACATTGTTAGGCATGTACCCATAGGAGGTCCAAGACAGAAAGAAAAGTCCCATGTAAACCAAAATATTCTAACAACACTTGGGCTTTTGTTTGTTTGTTTTTTGAGAGGTGAGCAAAGACTGTTAATGAAGTAAATGCCTATCAACTAGAAAATGACTAAACAAATTATGGTACAACAGTGTAATAGAAGTTGTAAGAATGGAATGAGTTGTAAGAAAGAATAGAATAATAACAACAATAACATTAGCATTTATAGATCTTTACAGTTTTCTAGGCACTTGGCATATGTTATCTTATTTGATTTTCATAACCAGGTGAGGTAGGTTCTATTATTATCCCCATTTTACAGATAAGGAAACTGAGGCAGAGATTAAATGACTCGCCCAGAGGCATACAGCTACTAAGTGCCTTGGGACAGATTTGAATTGTCTTCCTGACGCAGAATCCACCGTTCTACCCACTATACCACCTTGTTTCCTGATATGACAGAGATGAAGAATTCAGAGAAACAGAGCAAAACTTATATAAGCAGAACTAGGAAAATAACAAACCACTTTTAGACAGAAATTCAAGCAGAAAGAGCCAAAAAGAACTGAAAGGTAGAATTATAACAAACAAGTATGATCCTGGGGGACAATTTAAAAAATACCTCCCTCACTACACTATAGACGGGGCAAGGGGACTATGGTGATTAATATTGCCTATAGAGCCTCAGACATTATTGGTGTTTTGATTTGTTTTGCTGAACTAATTCTCTGTGTGCCTCAGTCTCTATGTCTTTGTGAATGTCTGTCTGTTTCTCTCTTTCTCTCTTTCTCTTCAGTAGCTAGCAATATAATTGAAAGAGCACTGGGCCTGAGTTTAAATCTGGCCTTAGAGACTTATTAGCTGTGTGATCCTGGGCAAGTCACTTGACCTCTGTTTGCCTCAGCTTCCTCAACTATAAAATGGGTAGAATAAAAGTACCTAATATGAAGGGCTGTTGTTCAGTCGTTTCAGTCTTTTCAGTTGTGTCCAATTCTTTGTGACACCATTTGGGGTTTTCTTGGCAAAGACACTGGAGTAGTTTGCCATTTCCTAAGACTCCGACTCACTTTACAGATGAGGAAACTGAGGCAAACAGGGTTAAGTGACTTGTCCAAGGTCACACAGCTAGTAAGTATATGAGGCCAGATTTGACCCCATGAAGCTGAGTCTTCCTGACTGCAAGCCTGGAGCTCTAGCCACTGCACCACTTAGCTGATAAATTGAAATAAAATCTGTAAAAGCACTTAACACAATACCTGGCGCAAAGTAGGTACTATATCAGTGCTTATTTTCTCCACCTCTCCCCCCTTTCCCTATCTCTGTCTCTGACAGTGATGGCTTCCTCAATAGGAGTTGGGGAGGGAGTTATTCCAAAGTGTATGTGATGGAAAAAGAAAAGACATCAATAAAATATGATTATGTGAGGAAAACTCCACTTCCCTTCACTGCTGCCATTGGATGGTCTGGGCCCATGACATCAGAAGGTTGGCCATGCTGCGGTTTCCAGGTTAATTTCACCAGTAGCATGGTGTAATATGCAGAGCAGTAAGATTACCCACAACCCCTCTCAGGCTTCATAGCCACATATGCAGGAAATTAGGCAGCCCAGGCCTGGGGTGATGACTGTTCCGAGAAGTGAACAGAGGTTGGCCACTCCAATAGACATGCTAGACAATTTCACAGCTGTTCTTTTTTTTTTTTTTTGCCTTCACATGATATTACATATCATGTCAAAATTAATTGAAAACACTTTGCATTTAAAATATGCAATAGCACTAAGTGACATTGAGGGAAATTTGATCAAGCTATTTTTATAAAACAGCTAGTGTACAATAAGGAATTTCAGAAACGAAATGCCATGTTGACATTCATTTCATTTCACTAAGATCCAGTTCTTGAATTTATTTTTTGAAAAGACATCTTTGCTAAATTTCAAATGCAGGCTTTTGTGCTGTATTTTAGGACAAATGACTGTGCCCGGGTCTCCTTTATGTTCCTCCTTGGAAGAAACTGGACCTGAATGTAATGTAGCTACAAGCTCAAGAGTGGCAGGTGGCTGATTTTTTTGGCTTGGGACAAATTAAAGCACAACAGTTTCCTTAGAATTGACTCCTTTTCAGGAAGAGATACAGCCCCGGAAGGGGAGCTATATGAATAGAGATTTCATTCTCAGTCTTCTCTCATTTTGGATGGTCTGCTACCATTTTGACATCTGTCTCTATGCTTTAGCATATACCTCATCTTACCCTCAATCTAATGTCAGTTTGCTGTAAATTTCAATCCACTGGAAGCAACAGAGAAAACAAGTTTCCTACCCTAGTGCCCATTAAGGATCGGTGTCAACCGAAGTCATAACCATTCCAAAGATTCTGTTTTTTTATCTCAATTTCGCAATTACTGACATGCTTAAAAACAAAAATCCACTCACCTCTCAAGCCCCTGGCTATAAGCTTGAAGGAATTTGTCTTTTCCACATTCCTAGCAGAATGATATGTGAATACCCTAGAAATTCCTTTATAAACAGCAATTTCCATGTCATCCTAAGACTAGCCACGTGGAAGAATGGATAACGTGTTAGACTGAAGGTCAAATCCAATCCACAGGACCTCTTGGCTTTGTGGTGCTGGGCCAATCACTTATCTCTCCTACCTTCAGTTTCCTCATCTTTATAATGGCAATTAATATTATTTGTACCACTGTCATCAGGGGGTTGTTGTGAGGCACCAATGAGATAAAGCATAGGAAGCCCTTTGCAAATCTTCAAATCCTAGATGAATGGCAGTTGTTGTCAGATTGTGTCTCTTTGACAGAAACAATAATAAAACATCTGTTCTGTCCCCCTTTTGTATCTATTTTTATACGTCCCACTTCCAGGGAAAACTGATCCAAATTAAAAGCGAATAATGGTGTGAGGTGGTGAAAGAAAACTGGATTTGAAGTCAGAGAGCTAGGTTTACATCTTCCCCCACCACGTGTGTAATGTTGGGCAAAGTGTTTGACCTCTCTGGGCCTCATCTCCTCTATGAAAGAAGGGGTTTGGACTACCTTGCTTTCAAGGCCCCCTTCATACAGAGTAATAACAATAACAATAATGATAACTAGCATTTATATAGCACTCTAAGGTTTGAAAGGCACTTTACAAATAGTTTATCTTTAAAAAAGATAAAAGAAGAGACAGAGGAGGAAATTTGGAAGTAAACCACAAGTCTAGCACTGAAGAAAGGAAACAATCATTTATACAGTAGCTAGCATATGCCAGGCACTGTGCTAAGCATTTTACAAATATCTTCTTATGTGATCCGCACAACACTCTTAAGAGGTAGGTGCTATTATTATCCCATTTTATAGATGAGGAAATGGAGGCAGAAAGAGGTTAAGTTAAGCTCAGGATCATAGAGCTAGTAAATGTCTGAGGCTGAATTTGAACACGAGCCTTTTTTGATTCCAGGCTCTATGCACTACATTAGCTAGCTGCCCACCTTTATTTGTGAATGGTTTAATATAAAATGGAAGGGAAGGGAAGGGGAAGTCAAGGAAGCCAAAGAGAAGGGTAATAGGAAGGGTAATAATGGGAAGGAGAAGAAGTGACAAAAGGAAAAGGAGCATTGTGGGATACTTGAGTTCCCCTGGCAGATGGAGGACTGAGTATAAAGAGAGGGTCATTTACTACAAATGCAAACAAAAGAGTGCTGTGGTCCCCTTCACAGACCACTCCCACCCACCTTCTAAAACTGTGACATCCTTCAGAGCTGCAAACTTAAGATTTTTCAGATTCTGGTATGAACAAAATATATGGACACATGTAATACACTTGTACCTACAGAGATCTTTATCTCTGTGTGTGTGTGCATGTGTGTGTGTCTCAAATACGTATAATAACATGGCCTCACTCAACACTAAGGTGAAGAAAACTTCATTTCCTACCAAAAGGCCCTCTTAAAAAATTAATCTCCACTGAATCTGTGACTTCATTGATGTGACTGTCTTTCAATGAACCAGGCTGCAACTACTACATACTTATTACTGTTGTTGTTCAGTTGTTTTATTTGTGTCTGACTCTTTGGGACCCTATCTGGGGTTTTCTTGGCAAAGATACTGAAGTGAATTGTCATTTCCTTCTCCAGCTCACTTTACAGATGAGGAAACTGAGGCAAACAAGGTTAACTGACTTGCCCAGGGTCCCACAGCTAGTAAGTACCTTCAGGCCAGATTTGAATCCATGAAGATGAGTCTTCCTGACTCCAGATCCAACACTGCATCTTCTAAATGCCCTACATGCTTAGCTTTCCATAAATTCACCATAGTACATCTACCCAGAAGGGCAAGGAGGGCATTCTTCACCTTCTCTAGATATTTTCTGCCTCTAAACAGAACATATGGGACGCTCACTAATTGTCCTTTACACTCACTTTAAGATTAGGTCATGGTTCCAGAGCTGAAAAAGACCACAGAGGTCATCTGGCCCTCCCTATCCCCCATTTCATAGATGAGGAAATTGACCCTCAGGGAAGTTAAGTGTCTTGTTCAAGGTCACAGTCAGTAAGCATCAGAAGTGGGCTTTGAGCCCAGGAGTCCTAATTCCTGAGTCAATGTTCTTGTCACTGGGTCACTTCAAATGACATTTTTCTCTCTTGACTGTGTGACCTGTGGAAGACTTTCACCTCATCATGTGCATCTCCACTGTTCAAATTACGGATACATTTAGTTTTCACACAACAGATGCTTTCCAACATGCCTTTTTTTTCTGACAAAGTGTAGTCCCTGCAAATATTTAATTGACTGTTATAAGAAAGGAGGGCCATATCTTCCCCGACCTCTCATTGCCTGGTCAGCTATCGGCCTCTCCATGGACATTCTCCATGTGGACTTTGAGGTAGTCATTCCGTGTGAACTTCTTGTGGCAGAAGGGGCATTCAGCCATAGGACGATTGGGGTTGTGAGTCAGTTTATGGCGGATCAACATTTTCTTCAGGCTGAAGGACAAGTCGCAAACCTGAATGATATTAAAATCAATAACATCTTTAAAATCCCAAAGATACATAAAGCTCACCCTGATACCACATAAACATCACACTGTACGAACTTATAAGGGTCAACAGTTTTAGAGCTGGGGAGGGTCTTAGACATCACAAAACCCCATGCCTTCATTTCATAAACTAAGAATTTGAGGCCCAAAGAGGTGATCATTTCCCTAATGCTCCTTTCTCTCCCTACTACCTAGTCATAGGATTATTGGCTTTGATATATTTGACATGGAAAGAAACATTAGAGTTCATCTATTCATACACACACACACACACACACACACACACACACACACACACACACGCAGATGAGGACATAGAAGCCCAGAGAAGACTCCTTAGACTTTTCCAACATTACTCAGAAAGGAACTAAGAGAACTCAAACCTGTGTTCAGTGATTTCTCACTCAAAGCTTCCAACAGACATTAGAAGTCAATGGCCTCCAAACTTGGGCTTGGGGATGGAGTATGCCATTGAGTTGAGGTATACTTCTAGTGTTATCATTGTACTAATATTAATAACAAACATTTGCATTACATTATGTTAGTTGTTTTCCTAATGGTGAATAATTTTTGAATCCTTGAATTTAATCTGACTCAATCCTAGAGATACTTTAAAAATGCTCCTTTAGTCTTTTTGCTTGTATTTTAGGTTTTTTTAATTGATATTCATTAGTGATACTCATCTACAGCACTTTTTGTTTATCCTTTCTTACTTCAGTTATTAGAACTGTATCTAACTCATCAAAGGAGTTTGAAAACATTTTCTTCCTCAAATTTTGAGAACAATTTATGTAATATATGTATTAATTATTTATTAAATATTTGGTAGAATTTTTCCCTAAATCCAATTGGCTCACTCCTCACTTTACCTCCTTTCATACTTCCTTTGTAGTAATTGAACTTCCATTAATGAAGCTGGATTTTAAATGCCTCTATTTGCAATTAATTTAGATATTTTGTATTTTTTAAATTCCATATTCTTTTGTTTATTCATTTATTTTTTCATTATTTATGTTATTATATTTATATTTATTTCAAGAAATGATCTTTTGTACTTGTTTTAAGTTTATTTATTGATTCTGTTTTTTTTAATTGAATGTTCAATTTTTTTAACATAGTCATTTCCCCCTATTTTATAAATTTATGTTCTCAGGGATGTATACACACACATATTACACACACACATGCACACACACATGCACACACACACATATACATCAGTAGTGCCTTGGTTGCATCTTTTAAAATACTGAATATTATTTAACATTATTTTCATAAAGTTACTAATTATTTCTATGATCTTGTCTTTAACTTACTCATTCAGAATATCAGATTCTCCATTTTGTTCTCTAGCTTTTCCTTATTGTCTACATATTATTTGTAATTTGCTGTGGTCTGTAAAGAATGTTTTGGATAGCTGCCTCTTTTTTACATTTATTTATTATTCTTTTTCTGCCCCAGCACATAGCCTATTTTTGCAGAAGTATCACATGCCAATGAGAAGTATGTATATTCTTTCATTTTCTCCTTCAGAAGACACCATAGGTCATTTAGCTTGAATTTTTCCAAGAGTGTGTTCAGTTTTCTATTTTCCCTTTTTGTTTGTGGTTTCATTAGATTTTCCCAGTGCTAGGAGAGAACAATGAAAGCCTATTATTAATCAGTCAATAACTCTTAAATGCCTACCATGTGCCAGGCATTGTGTTAGCCACAGATCTTATATTCTAATGAGACACAATAATTATACATATATATATATACATGTGGCTATATATAGCATAAACACAAAATGAACATATGTACACATATATATGTTCATTGTATCTTTAACATCTAAAAAGAAAGCATAGTGGAGTTAGTATGTATCATGTCTACTGCACATATATAATGCTCCTCAGAATGATTCCACAAGGCTTACTCCATATTTGTTAATATTTGATAAATAACCATGACTACCTACCAATGTGTACTACAGGGTTGAAGATAATAAAGGAGATGGTGGGACTTGTAGCCTGCTGGCTACACATACTTAAATATTGTTTCAGTGATGAACTGAATGAGATATTATGTAGTCATCATCCATTCAGAAAAATGCCAACAGAAAGAAATGATTATACAATGTCCAAGTTCAGTGTCAAGATAATCATATAGGTGAGAGTCCTGTTTAGGAAACTTTGTATGCAAAGCATAGATTAGCAAACTGATGGAGGGTATTTAATACCCTACCATGTTGTAGAGACACTGAGCAATATTATAGGATATATCTCAACTTCAGAAAATAGTCAATGTTCTATAAAAAAAAAAAAAGATATTTAGAAACCATCCATTGCTTAGTGGGGAGTTAATCAAACTTTCTGAGAAGCAGTGATTATGAATAGCCAATAAACCTTATTCAAAAGAAAGGACTTCACTCTCATATTGCAGAAAGGCAGCCAAATCTAGATTAAAGCTCAGAACTTTGTGGAGAGGAAATGGGAGAGGTGATACAGTGTGGGGGAAAAGTACTTGGTACGGAGTCAGGTGACTTGCATTTAAATCCCAGATCTCAGTTACCTACTGGCTTTGTCATCTTGGCCAAGTTTCTTGAAGCTTTCCCTAGTATTAGTTTTTTCTGTTCTTCAAAAGAGAGGAGAGAATACTTTAATCAACCAACTAGAATTTTTTTTTTTTAAATATGAGACACGTTGTACTGAGCACTGGAAATACAATGACAAAAAGAAAAGAGTTCCTGCCATCCAGGAGTTTATATTCTAATAGAGGACACAATTTGTGCAAGGATAAGTATATGCAAAGTGTCTACAAAATAAAATACAATCTGGTGAGTTAGGTAGCAAAGATATAATCAGCTCTGATAGATAGATAGATAGAGGATTTCCTATGTGCTCTGTGCCAGGCACTCTACTGAGTATTCATAAAAAATACAATTTAAAAAGAGACTCTCCTGCCCTAGAAGGGCTAATATTCTAATGGGGAAAGACAACACATCAAAAGGAATTCAAAGGTGGGGGGAGGATGGACCAGAGTCCCTAAGTAGTGGCAAGGAATACAAGTCGACTGTCATTGGCTGGAACTGAGCAGTGGAAAAAGTGACAATGGCCTGTGTAGGAACTTCATTAAATGGAGCTGCTGGGAAGTATTCATTAATTGGAAGAAGACGTAAGAGAGGTTGAGGCATCTCCACAGTGAGGAATCCATTGAAGCCAAGGTGGAAGTTATCTGGGAAGTCAGGGGCTGAGCTGAACTCAAAGTGATGAGGAAAACAAGGACCAGAAAGGTGATGATTTCCCTACAGGCACATAATTAGGAAGGGTCAGAAGTGGGATTTGAAACAAGGCTTCCACGTATCCAATCTGGCACTCCATTCTTCATATTGTGATACTTCAAAGGTCATCCAGCTCTCATTTCATAGAGGGATAGCCTAAGGTCCAGAGAGAAATTATTTCTAAAGTTCTAAAAGCTAGTGAATGGCAGAGCTGGAATTAAACCTCAGGTGCTCTGCCTTCATTTTTCTGCTTTTGTTTTTCCCCTTCCATCATACCACCTTGCTCTTGGAAGCATTCAAGATCTGTCACAAGGCAGGAAATGATTAATTACCAAATGAGGGCTATGGACAATAAGCTCTTCAGACTCAATCCTTTTCTTGATCACACAATTTTTCTTTCCATTATAATACTGAGAACTATTCATTACTGTATTTCATTTAATTTCTCTAAATTCACTTTTTAATGGAAGTTGGATAATTAGAGACAATTTTCAAGAGAAAAAATCGTATTTAAAGGGTGTATCTAGCAGCAGTTTACAGGATGAAGTAGAGGAGTCAGGACCAGGGAGAGGGACACCAGTTAGGCAGTTACAAGACTAGTCTGAGAAAGTGATCAGGATCTCGACTAGGCTGCTCATGCCTTCTCCTACAAGGCCACCTTTCATCTGCTTTGTATGGATCTTATGTTTGTCTATTCAGGTGCACGTTCTCTCCCCAAGGGGAACGTGAGCCTCGTGGGAGCAGGGATTGTTTGGCACTTCTTTCTTTTTCTTCTCAGCACTTAGCACAAGGCATGGCACATTGTAACCCCTTAATAGACACTTGCTGATTAATAGCGTGAAGGCAGGG